TCTTTTGACTTTTCATAGCTACAACTGACTTCATAATAACCATTTACTTTCCATAGCAACACGTTACTGTCTTAAAGAGACTCAGCTGAGGTATTTTGACATGATGGGACTGAAAATATTTTTTCCAAATAAATGAACCATTTGACCACTAATCTTTGTGCAAAATTTCAGATAATTCGCGCAATTCGTTTTTCCAGAATAATTATTCAAATTGTAAAAAAATGACCCAAAATGAAAAGCGTTTAAACGCTTTTCACTCAAATCGGGCTAATAAAATCATCAAAATACGATTTTCAATTTATTTCATAGTATATTTATCAACTATCTTTGCATATATTTCTGTTTAAAGTGCCCCAGCTACTTTATGTAAGAAATTCAAATGTTATGTTTTTAGGCTTTTAAACCTCAGTGGAGTCCCTTTAAACACCAAACACTGTTCCATTTCAAGCATTGACTTTCCATAGAAGCCATCAGATACGGGGAAACCGTAATCGACTGTAATTAATAACAATTTGACCATGTAATCGAATGAACCCGATATTTATTTAAAAGTTATAAAAAAATTAATACCAAAGAAGATATTATCCTTGAATGTCTATATTTCCCGCCTGAAAACTCATCATTTCATGAAATTGAAAACATGCGTGACATACAATGTTTTGAAAACCTTATTGTTGAAAATGCAACTGTGTTTTGAATTGAAGAACAGGTAAATTACACGATTTTATGTCATTGAACGAGTCTTTTCCAGAACTACAGGAGTACGATGAAATTTTGAATAATTATGTGGTTATTATCGTCACAATAGTGGTAACATTGTCAATAAATTTGGTAGAGATTTGACTGGTTTTTGTAAATGCTACTCTGTATATATCATAAATGGTAGATTTGGTGTTAATACAGAAGATTTTACTTTTGTTAGCCCACTTAGTGGCATTGTTATACATTTTTTATAAGTACCAGAAATTTGTTTGAAAAAGTTCTTAATCTGACTGTTAGGAATAGGTCCGAAAGTGATCATTTACCAGTCTATTAGCACTAGATATAAATAAATCTGTTAACAAATTGTCATAAAACCATTTTAAAAGAAATAATTCTAAAATTAAAAACTTTACAGTTTCTATTAACAAGGAAAATTGTAATCTGTTTAATTTATCTTATCAGAAAAGACCACAGAAGGAATTTTTGATGAAATAGAAAGACAAATCGACGATAACCTTTCAAATATTGATGATATCATTAATAGTCTTGAAAATGCAATTCTATCATGTACTGACCCGTTCAGAAAATACAAAAGAAAACCTATGAATAATTTAAAAAAACCAGTGTTGGCAGGAAACAGAATTCAAGGTTTTGAAGGTAAACTGTAATAAATGTGTAAGAAAATTCCGTGAAAGAAGGAGCATTTTTGATCTTGCCAATTGCCTTGAAAGTAAGAAAAAAGTATAAAGGTACATTTAGATTAAGAAAAAGTTATAATGCTGCTTGTTTAAGAAACCAGGAATCAACTGTTCGTGATTCCAAACTATTCTGTAGAAATCTAAACAGAATGACAAATTGTGTAAAGTGTCATCCAGATATTACATCTGACCAATGGTAATAGCATTTCAAACATGTATCCAATAGTTATACTGAAACTAGTGTTGATGATGATTTTAATGCAACTGATGATATCATATTAGATGACATTGAATACAGTTAATTTAATAGTGACATAACTGATGATGAGATTCTTTAGGCTCTGAAAAATATTAAAAATCTTCTTCATGTGATTTGGTAGCTGAACATTTTATCTATGGTATACTCATTTTATTATCTTATATTAGAAAACCTTTAACAGGCTCTATACAGTAGGTGAATTTCTTTCAAATTGGCCACAAAACGTTATAGTTCCTCTTTATGAAAAAGGAACAATTAACAATCTAGATAATTACAGAGGTATAGCTCTTTTAGATATTTATAGTAAGTTATATATCAGTATATTAACAACACGTGTAACTTTTTACTCTGAAGATCTACATAAAATACCTGAAGCCCAATCAGGTTTTCGTAGTGGATATTCTATCATTAATACTGGCTTTGTATTATATTCAAACGTGTGTAAATATTTGGGAATGAATGGTAAAACTGTTTATGTAACCATTATTATTCTGTAAATAGATCAAAGCTTTGTTATGCATTGTACCAACATTGTAACATTGTTGTTAAGGTAAATTACTTTTTGCTATACAGAATATATATAAATCAGTAAAAGCATGTGTCACAAGTAGTAAAAATAACTTTTCTAATTGCTTGGAGTTCTTTCGGAGACAAAATGCTACTCAATGGTGAACATCTGAAAATACTGAAATTTTCTTTTAATGTTTGCAGGTGATGTAGGCTTGATTTAAAACACCATCGTTGGTTTACAAAATCCCGTCAACTGTAGTTATGCTTTTAACAATATGTATAATCATTTACCAATATAAGATAAATCTTATTTCAAAATTTTTGACTCGAAAATATGTCCTGTTTTTGCTTTATGGGTCAGACATATGGGAACTTGAAATTAGGAATTGTATAGAACGTATTCAAATTTATGCATATAAGAGAGTTATGAATATTTCTTTAAAGTCGTGTTATGCTGTTGTCATGGGAGATTGTGGACGATACCCAATGTATATGCATAAAAAAGTGTATTAAATTTGGATACGGATTTTATATATGAATGATGAGATATGTTATGCTCAAACGGTTAGATGAACTTGGTGATAAAAATTGGATGACAACTCTACAATAAAATCTCTATAAGAATGGTTTTGAAATATTTAGGATCAACAAAATGTTGAAAATGCAAACTTTTTCCTTACCCTTTATGTAAATTAAGATTAAAAGATCAAACATGCAAAATTGGAACAGTGATATGTTTAAAAACAGAAAGTTAGTATTCTATAGAAATTTTAAATGTAATATTAATTAAAAAAAAATATCTTGACTGTATAGATAAATAGAAATTGAGGAGTAGTCTCGTTACTTTTAGGTTCTCTTCTCATTAATTTATGATAGAGAAAGGAAGACATTTATATTCCATGGGAAATCCGTTTTTGTAAACACTGTCGGTATGAAATTGAATGTGAATATCGTTTTCTGTTTAAATGTCCATCAGATGAAAATTTACGTCGACAATTTGTACCAAATTAGTATTTGGAACATGCAAATAATCATTAGTTTAACTTTAACTGTCATGCAAAAGTGTAAAGACAATACGAAACTTATCAATGTGTTTATAATATGCAAATAAACGGCGTAATTAATTTATATCTTAAATGTCGTTATGCTGGTTCCTAAACTTTATGACGCAATTACAAGTTTTGTAATAAATTGCTAAAATGCTGCTCTGACAACATGTCATTGTACTTTATACAACTCTATGTAAACATGTATATTTTGTGATGTAATATTATCCTAACAAGATGCCATGACAAAATGCTATTGCGTTTATATATATTTTATGTATTTAAGTGTATGGGCCAGTGGCCTGAATGCAAATGTGAAACAAGCTAAACTATAACATCAACCAACCATGACATGATGTTGTGCCATGCATATCATTAGCACATAGTCTCACCATGGTGATTATTGGTGCAAAGTATTTTTTAAATATTCCTCAAAGTCAAAAAGTTATAGAGAACATATAATCTTGACCTTAAGGGTAGCAACCTGGATGTTGGCTCTTCAGATTGTGTCCTGGTGGGGATCATTTGTAAACCTTTTTATTGTCAATAAATTATAGAGCGGACATGAAAAATAGATGTTTTAACATTATGCCTTGAATGTGATCCTGACCTTGAGGGTTGTGACTTGATCATTGTTCTCTGCCAATGGTGTCATAATGGTGACCATTTATGCCAAGTTATCTTAAAAACATTGCAACGGTTTACATGTTTTGGAGTGGACACGAAATGAAGACTTCTAAAACTTTACGTTTAAGTGTGACCATGTTCTTGGGGGCAGCAACCCAATAATTGCACGTTCACATCATGTAATTATGATGATCACTTGTGCAAGTTATTTCCAAACATTTTGAGCGGTTTATGGAGCGGCCACGAAATGCAAACCTTTTATCATTTGACTAGTAATTGTGACATTGACCTTGGGGTACCAAGCTAATAATTGCGCTCTGCACATTGTCTCATAATGGTGAACACTTGTGCCACCTTATTTCAAAACGATTTCAGATGATAAAAAGTTATGGACTGCAGAACTATAAAAGGTTTAATTTTGTTAAGGTGTGAAAGGTTGTGAAATTTTGAAAAAGGGATGGTCCTTCGGAAGCATTAAAACAAATAGAAAACGATTGAAAATTGCAAACTCGGTTTTACGGAGACTGTGCACGAGGGATAATTCAAAAGAGCAACAACCCTTACGTCCCCAAGCTCTGGCTTAAGCGGTATATAATATTAAACTTTTAATGTGCTTGAATCAAGGATCCCAAATGACCGGAACAAAATCTTCCATATCACAGTCTTTTATTCCGATAAAATCGTACAACATGATAATTTATGTATATTAATAAACAAAATAACCAAATCATACTTAACAAAGCTATTTTGAAAGCGTGATTCGAACCCACAGTTTGAGGCTTTGAGGTCTAGAACATTATCACTGATCCATTTTATCCCACATAATTGCTACACATATCTTATACTAATTTTGAAATAAAAAGCTGACATGAAAAATGAAAACAAAGATCATCAAGGCAAGGCAACGTTCACAGGACGCAATCCCTGAATGCCAACATCTGAGGACAAACCCTATCAAAGATTGTATTTAAAAGAATTGAATCAATAATGCCAAGGACTTTAAAAGGCCAGTCTTTTAATTGTAATTAAACGTTAAGGTTTTCTACGCAAATTTTTATTATTTTATTTGTTCGAGAATGAAGTGATTAGTAATTTAATTGAACAGGGTGACAAAGGCCACCTTTATAGGTTTTAGTTTATTCATTCAATGCTAAATACCTTTGTTCCCGGTTTTATATGCCCATTCATAATTTTGACAATTTTGTTAACATATTGTGAAGTGTCCTGTGTAACGCCCATCGTGTCTGCAATTTTAAATCCTTTCAGCTCACCTTGAAGATAGTATTTTCGAAACTGAAAGCAAACAAAACGAAATTATGTTTGTAATAAATGTATATATCCCAGTTAATGGAATAACACAGGCGCAGTTTTATCAACATTTTCTATACATCCACCGGAATAACAAAATCAAAGTCAAAATTTTATTTGCAAATTTGCAGATATTTGTCTATGTTAATACAAACATTAATAGACAAACGTACTCAAGCAAACGTTGCATTGAATAAACATGATACATATCGAAGCATATATTGTGTTTGAATCATTGTAGGTTTATACCAAAAATCAAAGCAAAGACCTAAGTTAGATGTTTTGTCAGGGGGTCGAACGTTTAGCCGCGCGATACTACTTTAAGCGAGGTGAAATCATGCGATACGAAATCATGGCCGAAGAAAGTGAAAATGAAAGTGGATATGATCATTTTTTGTTTCCTCCAAATAATTGTTGTATATTGTAATTTCTTGAAGAATAGCATTGTGCATGCTGATCTCGTCAAAATAAAATACTTAATTTCAAAGTATTGAGAAAGTTATTGAGGTCTTTGTTGCTGAAAATTCAACAATCTCCCTGATATTCACATTCAAACAAATACAATATCAGTAATTTTTAAACGAGATATTCGATTATTTGTTGTCCAAACATGCTTATTTTTGATAACAAAACGATATACAAGAGTGGTTTTCATATCTATCCGGAAATATATACAATATTTCCAGTTTTATTACTATACGCCTAATAATTGGTCCGATAACCTAATGTACGCACAAATTCTGGGTATTTTTCTGTTGCGACAGGGACTTCCTCATTACAGTACATTCTAATTTAATATTGATGAAATATAAAGTTTTGTGTTTGTATGTTAATCATATGTAAACCACAGAGTCAATAAAAACAACAGTATCAATTAATGTATCATACTACAATATAGTTAATTTAAATATTCTTTTCTCACAAAGGTTAAATATTAAAATTAGATAAGAAATTTTACAGAAACTTAAAATTCTATCACATAGCCAATAGTAACGATACTATTCTTTTTGTTTATTCCATTAATTTAGTAAAGGTTATATCATTTAATAATATGTTTTACTATTATTTGTTAAACACTAATTTTATCAGAAAACAATAACTTTAATGAAAACAGCAACATGAAGAGAAGTGGATCTTCTTTTGTGTTACAGGCACTGGTTGGAAAAAACCGCTTCCCCTCCGTTCTGACGTTCATTCAATACCTTGAGAAGGACATGTATTTAATTGTGTCGTTTTCATACAATGGAACTTGTAATTTTATGACAAAATACTGGATTGATTTTTTATGGATTTAGTGATATGTAGTTTTTTAAGAAAGTAAAACATAGACAAAAGCCTTTTAGATGACCCCTATTTATTAAATGTCATTTTAGGTCAAAAATAAAACCCATTACGGCACATTTTTATACAGACTTGAAAGTAGTCCTACGTTTGTCTACTTTCCTACTTTTTTGCCAAACTTCTACTTTGTTACTACTTTTTTCTAACAATTATTCCTACTAATGAGTAAAAATGAAAATAAAAATGTATATATCAGCATATGAAAGTTCTTCTTAATGACATGATGATAATCTTAGCTAAGTTTGCGGATTTGTTACATGCAACTTTTTCAGGATACTATCATTCATTTAAATGTATTCAAAGCGAAAAGCTCTAACTTAATAAGCGAAAAATAATTTCTTGGAATACAGTATTGTCTTATCAATATCAAGAGAAAACTCAAATGTCAGACATAACATATATGAACGAAAGTGGAAAATAAATTGAGTAATGACAAGGAATATAGTTATCTAAGATCTTAGAGTAAAGGTTATTTTTTCCAACTCCTAATTATCAGAGGTAGATATCTAATGATTAAAATTGAGTTCAAATAGTTACATTTATATAGATGGAGTAAATGCATAAGGTAAAAAGAAGGTATAAAATTTTATTTTTAGAAATCCGGAAACGGACACATATATGGTAGCTCTCGTAGAATAATCATATAAAAACATGTACAACAGATGTAATTATGACAAATTATCGAACATTTAACAGTTATTTCATTGCACCAAAACCCAGCGTACACTTAAATACTATTAACTCTATTGAACGTCCAGGTATTAATTTAAAAAAGTAGATTCCCTTTAACCGTTTAATGCCAGGAATGGGCATTAAAATATTGAATAAAAAATAAAGAAAAATTCTTTACCACAATTGTTTAGAATAAATAGTGATCACAATAATTACTTTCGAGGCCCTTCTAATCCTAAAACAATTCACAGTATGAATAATTTAGGGTTTTTAAACGTAAAGAGAATTTTGTGAATGATTGCACTTATATTGTATTATTTAAGACACCACCTTGTGCAGAAATGACACAAATCGATTTAATCAATGCCAAAAATATGATAAACACAATCATCAAAGAAAGGGGGCCTTCAATGAACGCACCCCCTACACGACCCATCAACAAGAACCAGTGACAAGCAGCCCAGGAGGCCAAAACTTGACTTCTATATGAATTTTGTTTTAAAGAGTATCTTCAAATTGTGGATAAAAGAAAATTAAGAAGACAACTTTCAATGTTTAGTTAAGTCCTTATACATTAGAAATTAAAACAGGAAAATATTTTGATGAAGAAAGATTTTGTTCTCAACAAACAATTTAATGTTGTCCAAAATAAGGAGATTTTAGAATCAAATATAAACTGCCAAACTCTTTTAGAAATCTATATAATTTTTTATAGAGTAATGACAAATATGAAAAGATAAAAACTTGTATCATTTTTAAGAGATGAATTAAATAGAAGAAAGAGCAATTATAACAAACAGGGGGTCGACCATATAGCGGTGCGATACTTATTTAAGCAAGGTGAAATAATGCGATACGGAATAATGGTGGAGTAATTAGTGTAAACACAGGTCAGAGTGAGTAAGTGTATTTTATTAATTTTTTTTTATAAATCTTTTGCATATTTTGTGTTGAAGATGTGCAGATAGGACCGACACACATTTCTTCAAAATTAAAGAGGCTTGAATTCATAATTTTAAGTAAATAGTGTTAAATTCTTCTCCTAAATAGCGAAAATTCTTTATAATATCTTGATTAATTATTAAGTTATTAATAGCGTCCATGAATATATTGATCAACCCTCGTATATGAATGTTCCCATAATGTATCATCATTCTGATACGTCCTGCCATGTGTTTCATTGAGGTGTTCTTTGCAGAAAGATCTATCCGAATTTACGTCCAGTTTGTTTATGTCCATTATGGGCAGGTCATAAATTGTGTAAAGTCTTGTCCAATATAAAATTCATTCAAATGTAACTTTTTCCTCACACCAGCATCCCGTGCTTTCTTAAAATAAAGGTTTAACAATCTTTGACGTTCCTGAATCGGTACTGATCGCTTTTGCCATGATATTATTCTTCTTTTTGTTCGCCCTTCGACAACGTCACCCCAGTCAATTCGATTAAATGTGCGATCCTCTGGAGGGCCTCAATGTTACCGTAGAGTTTCTTCACCAGTAGGTGTTTGCTGGCCTTACTTCTCTCCGAAGGTAGCTGCTCTTGATGTGGGCACCTTTGTAATATGTGTTCTTCCATTTTTTTAACAATGTACAGAAGAATCTGGGCGATTCGGACAGCTTATGTTGTGGCTAATGTGTAGCATGACTAGTGCTACCTGTTCATTTCTGGTTAGCACATGGTAATCATCTTGGCTTACTGCTAGAGTTCTTGTAGCCGACAGTTGTTGGGCATATTTAAGCACCACGAGTTCCCCCATATTGGACAGCGACAGTTGTTGAGCAATCTGTGTATATATCGGTCCAGATCTCTCGTTGGAAGTCCTCATGAATAATGACTTGTGTTAGGGATTTCTTGGTCATCTCGTCCTGTTCACCAAAGGCTCCTTGTTAGACAATTCTTTGTAAGAACTTACTTTTTTAATGGGATGGTATGGGAGGTTCTGGTATTTAACCACTTGTATCATTGCTTTCTCTTCTCTTCGGTGACCAAGAGGTGGAGTAGTAGTGAGATCCTCCATAAAGTTTATTTGAGTGGACTTCATTGCTTAAGTGATAACATGCATGACAAAATCATGGCTGCTGTTTGATGGGGAGTCATAAACATAAATTATGTTACATTATCATATTGTCAAGTGTTGCTTCCTTGATCGGATGTAATTCACCTGAGTCTGATTCTTACCCTCTAAATTGTGTGCCATTTGCGGTGTATAACAATCGTCAAACAAGGCAATTAACTTTCCACTTTCAGTTTTAAATCATAGTTATCAGCATTTTATTAAATTAATCCTTACAATTAGACGAATGCTGTTTATTTAGATGAAAACTACACAACAGAAAACATCTACACTTATAAGAGCCTTAGAGTCAGGGACGAGAACAAAACAATGAAGGAGTCAAACATGTACGTAATGTATCAAAAAACTGTCTTGTCAATAAATCTTTTTTTTTATTTAATTATTTTATCATATATTTAAGTTATCGGAACGTTTAATTATTAAACATTTATATAAATGAAGTTGAAAAACTCCACCATCGCAAATGAAAAAAAAACACGAATCAATTTTGTTTTTTGGCATTCGGCAACGACCGTTGTATTAAGCGACCAGTGTTAGTGTTCTCCTTGCGCGGTCGCTATATGAACATTTGAAAGGTGAAATATTAGTTTTTCATGATTTTTATAAATTATTCTACAACTGTTAAATTGCGTATATTTCTAAATAAAATAGTCTTTATTGACATGATTTACATTGTAAAAACCCTTTTTTTCGTTTCCAGCTCTGGCGGTTATATTTTTAACTGGTAACAACGTTTTGAGCAATTATTGTAAATGACTTAAATGATCATTGCTGTACAGTTTCTTTATAAATTCCGAAATGGTTAACGGGAAGTACAACATGTATTCGTTTAAAGGTTAAAAGGACAACCGAATGCTTATTGCCAAGTTTCTTTAAACTGGTTGGTAAATATATGTTTCTTTAAAGGTTTTTTTCTATGTGCATTTCTGACGGCCAAGTGGTTTTGGGGCTGGGGGTTGTGTAGGGAATGAAATGTTATTTGAGAAGAGAAGTTAATGATAAACGACGGATATTGAGGTGTCACACAAGTTCGACTTGAGAAACATAAACCGATGGTAAAATATATGTTTTTAGACTTTTATGTTAAGGAGAGAGCAAATATTTCTAACATACGAACAAATAGTCGAAAAAAGAGAGATCGGAGTCCGCATCATAATATTAAGTAAATGCTTTGTTGTAAATTTGAATAATCTGCAAACAATATTTAAAAATGCTTTGAAACAGTTTTTATTCATTCTCTACATCTACATATCTAAGAAAATTAGCAAACGTCTCTAACTCGCACAATACCTTGCAAAAAGCTATACCTGACCAACCTGATAATTGTTATGAAAATAGTCTGCATTTTGATGCTATACAATTAAAGGCATTAATGACAAATTTAACACTGTCGTGTAATATTTTTGGATTTATCTGCAATTATACGTTTTTTGTATAAAATATATACCTACCGCTGGTGTAACATGGTTTGCACTTTTTGCACAGTTTGTTATGTTTGATTTCCTGTCTTGGCTGATTGTTGACACGGAATTGATGAATGCCGACTTTCCATGCCCGGAAGGTCCCACCAACAACAATGTTGGTGCAGGAGCTTTCTTTACCAATTTTCCTACTTGATCACGAAGTTTTTTGCTGTACTGTAATTTATAAGAAAACATTCAATAACTGTTTATATGTGTCTATGTGTTGCATTCTTACAAGGATTGCTTTAACTAAGCCTAGATAACTCAAGTTTTAAGGCATCATTTTAACATTATTTGTTCACTCATTTCCTACAAATCTTATTAAAGATGCGACCTTTAATTACATAAAACTATTTAGAATCTGATGTCACCGCTTGGGTTGACGTCTGACTCATACAAATCTTTATATAATAACCTATACATCGTATTTCATTTATATTGCAATTCTAATCCTCAATTATTCTTTATAAAATGTTTCCTTTGATATGACCTGGTGGATTTTTTTAACCAAAAGAATTATTACGGAAAACCAATACATGAAGATCAAATAAAATTTTGTGATCTTAAAGAATAACGCATTTCATGAATTTGAGAAGGTGACATAGATTACAACTCCAAACTACTTTTTGAAGTACTTTGTAATGCATTTTGTTTTTCTCTGTGGAATATACGATATAATTAAGTATTTATAAGATAAGATCTCATTAACAGCGAAAGATACATTAACATCATTCCAGGTCTCACACGAGTGTAACGAAGATTTCCTTTCTGACTGGTTATATTTGTGCATGTGATATATCATTAAATATTGAACAATATATATAGGTATGTTATAAAACTGATTATATGTCGTTACTATATTTTAATAAGAAAGCTCACTATATTTGACATTGAATATTAATATTTGACTATAATGGCTCATGACAAACCCGAAAAAATGCCAGACTGTAACAAATTTGACATAAATAAATTAACTAATCAAAGGACCTAAAGATGGATTGCAATAACTTTTTTTGACATAGTGATTACTACTGTTTTTATTTTATTTTCAAATTTGCATATTAATACAATTTTTATTAATACAGCCAATATACACGCTTTATTAAGGCCCAATCAGGGCAAGTCTGAAACATTTACAATTCGTTCATTTGGGGCATTCTTTATCGATTTCCATTCAATCAAAAATTATAAATTTCCGAGTCTAGTTCGGCACGACATTATTTTTGTGTTTGATGGTTTTAGTTTCATGTATTTCTACCTAAATGATGTGTCCTCCCACAACCTGTGATCTGCTTCTATTTTTTTATTTGCTTTCATTTTTGTTTATTTGTTACATTCAGGCTTCGTGACCTCTGATCTCCTTTTAAATTTAACGAAACAAAAAAACAAAAAAAACAAAAAAAACAACAACAAAAAACAAAAACAAAACAAAAAAAGAACAATGGGAGATCAGAATACAATTGAATTTTGAAAGGGTGGGTTAGGGCAAAATTAAAACAGGAAATTAGTGACATTGTTATAAATGAACTTTGGCAGATGTGTTTTAAGAAGTTACCGTTGAATTTTTAAAGTGTGGGTCAGGGGTTATAAAGCCTAAGTATCAAAGACAAATTCTATAAGCAGGAATCCTATGGTCGATCTACAGTACTCAACCATTCTACTAGTATAAAGCCAATATGAAAAAAAAAAGATTAAACAAAGAAAATGAAATTTATGATTTCATTTCACTAAATGCTTGAAGAGGTAGGAAACTACCGACGTAGTTTTTTTAATTGGTAACATATAGATTAAAGGTGATCAGCTTTATTAAATTAAAATTACTTGTTCAGTCCATTCGAAGTCCTTTGAATGTATTCTCCATGCTGTAAAATATTAAGAAAAAATGAGAACAAATATCAATCAGGCATAACGACATTTACATAACACAGCTCAAACATAATCCTACCACGTTAGCAAGGTACCCTGAGAGCCTGAGAAACATATACATGTATATCCTTAAAAAGAGGTACTGTTAAAGTGAAAGCAGAAGTTTTTTAAAACATAGTTGAAAAATAAATATGTCTGTGATCATGACACTTGATCATGGTACTTTGATGTTTAACAATAACACATATTATTTTATGCTTTTCAGTTGATTACTGATTTATCCGTGAAAATTATATTTGGTAATTTCACAGTGAAAATTATCAAAATATAATTTCACTTTTTTCAATGACGAAACTACTTTTTTAAGATTTTCCCCATGTAGTACCTCAATTTTATTTTTGTTGACAATTCTGACAATGTCAGGCTGTTTAAAGAAAAAGCAAAGCTGAAATTGATAAATACCTTAAACGCCAAAAGTAATAAAAAGAAGAAAACTTACTTTTATTCATTCAAATTCCAAGCACAAAATTTCGTCTCTAAATTTTTCGTTTCATTTTTACCGTCTGAAAAATTCTTACCTTCCACATGCAAACTGCTCTTGATGACATTTGGGCATATTAAAGTATCCTACGAGTAATAGCTGCCGTATGCTTTTTGAAAAATTGAAAAGCAATGACAGCTACAGCTCGTAGAACAATTAAACCACCCAGCGTTCCGAGCAAGTTCCAAGTCTTCCATTTTCATAGCTGCTTTTTTCATGTTTTCACATCTGTCATCACTTATTTTTTGTCTGTTTCAATCCTCAAATATGTTTTCTTTCTTTTAAAAAGGTGTATGACTAACAATTCCAAATGATATCCCTCTGAAACAAACACAATTATTTTCCTCCTGTGAAATACACAACTTTAAAAAATGGCTGCCGCTTACATTTAACAAAGCCAGGTCTAATATAAATTCGCAGTAAGTAACAGAAATATGGATGGATGGTTGGAATTTTCTCCTACACGAATTGTTTGTTTTTATTATGAAAACAAGCGATCATTCATATTTTTTAAACAGAATAATTAATATCACTGTCATTTAATGTTGATTGTCGGACTTATTTTTCAGCTCAAGACTTCTTGTTTTTAATGAGAAATTCGCACGAAATGGGGCTCTCAATGGGGAAACAGATTTTAATATTTATGTTAATATTATGGAAATATCGTTTAAACTTGTTTTTTAGCATAAAATAAAAAGAAAATTTGTTTGTTTGTTGTGTAAGATGTAATTTTATTTTATCTCGTGAACTTTAAAAACAGTATTCTCACTCGTGGCTACGCCACTCGTGAGAATACCGTTTTTAAAGCCCACTCGATGAAATAAAATTTCATCTTACACACAAACAAACAAATATCCTCTATGCCATAGGTCATTCCAGCTTTACTCGTGAAAGAATACATCAAATTTACTTCAATGAAAATGTCTATAAGCACGACAATGCACCTGAGAAGAGCCACCTACCTGGAAAGCTTACTCACTTGAAAGAATCAAATGTCCCGACGGGATTCAAACTCATAGCAGTTTGGAGCAAGTGATTGGAAGCATTACAGATTTTTATTACATGCTTTTCGGTGGTTTATAGAGATATATCAGTGATATAAAAATGGCAATCTCACTGTTTGAAACAGTGAAATTACCACTTTGATAATTTCACTGTTTTGAATTTAAGCCCCTTACGTTATTTCAGTGAAATACCAGCGTGCACAGTACTGGGAACCAACTTAATGACGTGACGTCGTAAATGACGTCACATTATATTATTATTTGGCGCGCTTTTCATTCAGTATTAGGTTAAATGTCTTTTTAAAACGTTTCTTTGCATATAATAAAAAGAAAATTTGTTTAGTTTAGTGTAAGATTGAAATATATTTCACCTTGTGAACACCAAAAGTTCATATTTCACTCGTGGCTGCGCCACTCGTGAAATATACCTTTTGGTGCTCACTCGGTGAAATATATTCCGATCTTACACTGAACTAAACAAATATCCTCTATATACATATTACATTTAACATTTATCAAAAAACCAAACATGTTATATATACCTATACGGATCATCAGTGTATTAATATAAATATATTTAATTATATTTGAAACTAATCACCATTACATATAAAAATAATCAAATACATACGTTGTCCAGCTCCCATATTGAATATATATGAAACAAGCGTACAGTTTGAATCAGATATCAGTTTGATTATCATGTGAGATAAATTATTTATATATTCACAGTTTGTTATAATTTCACTGTTTGTTACGTGAGCAGAGAACATGATATTTCAGTCGGACGTCTATTTCTTTACTTATCAGATGAGATATATATTCTGTAGTGTTTAGTCCGTAAGGTTTATAATTTTGTTACAAATTTTCGATTGTCTTTCGATATTGGTCAGTCCTATATACTTTTGCTAGCCCCATTATTGAAAAATCACCTATTGTGCGCCCTTTGTATAAAAATGCGCGCTACCGGATCATTTTACTTCGTTCGTATTCTTGATAAATTCAAGATATCCTTGGTATAAAGTGTTTCCTTGTTCTTCAACATAAATGTAATCTTTGCAATGCGTAAGTAAATTGCAAATACCACATGCGTCGGTTTACTTGTGATCTGATTGCGTACTTTGTACGAGGCCCAGTTCACACCAATAAACGTTTCTGCTTCAATGACATAAAGACAAGTCGCACATATGCAAGGAGCGCAGGAATACAGTTGTCGTATTTTTTATGTCCAAGAGATTATTTTTTTTTAAATGCCGTTATTTAGGATTTCGGAAGATTTCTGGCTTGTCTGAGGCATGTTATTCTGGTGCTTGCGTACTGTTTGTCCTATATTCGGGAGCACTCGAAAAAACGTCAGTACCAAGGCGACTCTTTTTCTTTGTTTAAAATTCATTATACATGCATTGTAATTAGTTACTCCGTTTCTTAATATCTTCCTTTTAAGTACTGTTTTCATATATTGGTTATCATAGCCTCGTTTTGGTACCTGAGTTTTGATGTTCTCTCTATTTAGCTTGCAAGTAGAATCATAGGTACATATTCGCTTGGCAGTGAGGGCATGTCCATAAGGTATTGATTTTTGTGTCGTTTCCGGGTGAGAAGAGTCATTGTGAAAATATATGTGTTTATCTGCTGGTTTTGTGTAAATGTCAGAAACTAAAACACCATCCTAGATATCCGCCATCACGTCAAGGAAATCAAGTTTCTTAGCTCTTATTGTTTTCTAGGGTAAAGGCTATTCCTAAGCTCATGGAATCTTTCCAAAAACTAAATGCCAAAGGCCCTAAACATCATCAACATTCAGGA